ATGCAATTGCCTATATATATACAACATCAATATATATATATATATATATATATATATATATAATATTTTTAAAGAAGTGGTTAGGGATGTTCACATAAATAAATAAATAAAAACAAATAAATAAATAAATAAATATAATAAATATACAAATAAACAAATAAATCTATCAATAAATATATAAATAAATAAACAGATAAACGAACATGCATGCTGAAAGAACAACAAACAACATGAGCTGCAGCAGCAACAGAGGAAGAACCCTAAACCCTAAACCCTAAACCCTAAACCCTAAACCCTAAACACTAAAGTCTAGATCCTAAACCCTAAACCTTGAACCCTAAATCTTAAACCTTAAGCGTTACATTCTACACCTTAAACCCTAAACCCTTAACCCTAAAACCCAAACCCTATACCCTGAACCCCAAACCCTAAACCCTAAGCCCCAAACCCTAAACCCTAAACCCTAAACCCTAAACCCTACTGGAGGTGCCGCATCCTAGCATGAGGATATCGTGGCTCTCCTCTAAGCCAGCAGAAAGAAGAAAGGGTTTGAGCGCGGGGTATTTGTTAAACCAATCAAAAGGCTCGGGGTCCCTATACACCGCAAACCCTAAACCCTAAACCCTAAACCCTAAACCCTAAACCCGAAACACAGAGGAAACCATAAACCCTAAACCCTAGACACAACAAACAATAGGCCTTTAAAGCCTCAAACCATTTGTCATAAACCCTAAACCCTAAACCCTAATCGTCCCGAACCCTAAACCCTAAGCCCTAAACCCTAAACCCTAATCCCTCTTACTTCTTGTAGCGCTCCTCCCAGTGCTCCAGGCACGCGTACTGCAGCGCAGCCGCACACACCTAAACCCTAAACCCTAAACCCTTAAACCTGAGAAGGAATGAAGATGGCGAGCTGGGCGGCGGTTGAGAATTTAGGGTTTAGGGTTTAGGGTTTAGGGTTTAGGGTTTGCTTTACTCTAGTCATCTTCAGGGGAAGCAGACGCACACCGCCAGCACCTAATCCTAAACCCTAAACCCTGAAAAACGCTTATAAACCCTAAACCCTAAACCCTAAACCCTCGGCCAGCCCTCCAGTGCGGCGGAGGGTTCAGCAGCAAACCGCTCGAGAGGTGGAGAGTAAACCCTAAACCCTAAACCCTAAACCCTAAACCCTAAACCCTTTGTTGGGGTATAGAAAAGATAAAAATGCAGAGGAGTCGAAGTTATTATCCTGAGTGTGAAGACAGCTCAGCCGCTCCTGTGCCCTCGGCATGCTAAACCCTAAACCCTAAACCCTAAACCCTAAACCACAAACCCTAGACCCTAATATAGAATTTCATGAGTGTAAAAGAAGCAAAAAACAAATAGATGTAGCATTTGTTTATAGCAGCACCTAAAGAGCGTTACGGGCCCCCTTGAGGCACACCGCAAGCCCCTCTTACCTAAACCCTAAACCCTAAACCCTAAACCCTAAACCCTAAACCCTAAACCCTAAAATCTAATAGGGTAATTGAGTCTTTGATTTTATTTTGTGTATTTAATATCTTGTTTCGTATTTGAATACACCTCCTTTCTCTCCCCCTGCTACCCCCTGACGGCCTAAACCCTAAACCCTAAACCCTAAACCCTAGAACACTAAACCCTAAAACAACCCTAACTCATAAACCCTAAACCCTAAACCCTAAAGCCTAGTCCTATGTGTGTGTATATATGTGTGTATATGTGTTTTTTCGTTTATGTTAATCTCCTTTCTATGCAAGACAAGGCTAAAGGATTAGGGTTTAGGGTTTAGGGTTTAGGGTTTAGCTGGTGACAAAGCTTAGGGTTTTGTTTGTTTTTGTTTCTTTTCTTGATAAGAGCAGCAGCAAAATAATAATAATAATAATAATAATTATTATTATTATTATTATTATTATTATTACTATTATTATTACTATTTATTTATTTATTTATTATTATCTTTATTTATCTGTTTTGTTATATCTGTAAATTGTGACATATTTTACTAATTTAAATAAAATAAATAATTTGCACTGTTTGTTTACCTAAATAAATAAATAATTTGTTTTGTTTATATAAACAAATAAAACAAATTAATTAATTAATTATTTGTTTATTTATTTATTTATTTGTTTATTTATTTATTTATTTATTTAAACAGACGCACAAAACAAACAAAACAAATAATGCACTTAAACAAATAATTTGTTTTATTTATATAACCAGATAAAACAAATATAATATATATAATATATAATATAATTAATATAATATAATTAATATAATATAATTAATATATATAATATATATATGTACAATATATAATATATAATATTTTCTTATATAATTTGCTCTGTCTATGTATTTGTTTATATTTTATTTATTTGTATAAAACCCACAAAACAAATTTTAAGTAAATAAAATAAAACAAATAAATAAATTTTAAACAAATAAAATAAATACTTCTACTCTCAAGCGAAACCCTCGCCTTAGCCGCTGC